CTTTCTCTTATCTTTATCTTCTCTTCGACGTTCCGTGTGTGTGGTTTTGTGTGTGTTTGTTGCGGGTGTGGGTTCCCGCCGTGGGTTCCGCAGTGTGTTGGCCATTTCTCACCTTCACCTTTCTTTTTTGCCCCCGGGCCTTCCCTTCCTTCTTTTGTTTGTTTGGGACCTGCGCCTCTGCACGCGCCGCAGCCGCCCCTCGTGGACGGTCGGATGCTTGGGGACCTTCGTCGTACACTCAGGCGGCCTTTTGGCTCAAGCGGTAAGTTGTGATGTATTTTGTCAGTGTGTTACAAAGTAGATCATCTCTGTCATTGTGTCATTTTATTTATTTAGTATTTACTTTGTGGTTATCTGTGTTTCAATATTGATACACCTTCCTTTTGTTTATTTCAATTACATTAACCTTACATAAATAATCTCCAGTTGCTCTAGTATTGTTCTTTTATATTGTTGTGTTTGCTTAATACTACGTTTATATTTTATGTTGTTTTGATCATTATAGTTTGCAGTTCTGGAGCACTATTAACAATAGTTACATTAGTTGATCATAAAATATCTGTATGCTATTCTTCCCAGTCAATAGGTCGTTTTCAGCCATATCTTTTGATTATCCTTTCTATATTTATACTATCTCTTTATATACAGTGGTATAGATTTCCTATAAACTATTTATTTTATGTTATGTCCACTTTCCACTCGTCTGACAGCATATTACCTGTTGCCGTGCCTATTTTATCTACTATGGCACCCTTATTTCATGCGCTCAAGCATGCGCAACATTAGGGTGGAAACCTTTGGGTTATTTACATTTTGTCAACATGCCTTTTTCCCAAAGATTTTAAATGTGTAGAATCAGTCATGTGGTTTACTAAGTTCAGTTTAAAATGCAAATGAAAGTGTGTGTTTTGCAATATGATGTTTATGTTTTTGTGTAGAATGCCTCAACTTTTTAATATTGCATTAAATAATTACTGCTATTTTCACTGAGTCATGGTGTTCCTGAGTTTTGTGTTAAATTGTATTGCGATGGTTTCAGGAAACAAAAAGTATGGCAACAGCCCCACCGAGAATTGGCAGGTTATCTTTTTTGTGTAGTCCTGTTTTGCTTTCCTGATGCCACGGGACAGGTTGGCTCTCGCTGTTCTCAGGCCATTTTCATCCCTGAAGGCTTTGTCTCTGGCCCTCAGCAGCTGATGGACAGCCCCTGTCAGCCATGGCTTCTGGTTAGCCCGAGTGATGATGGTCTTTGTGTGGGTCACATCATCAGTGCACTTACGGATGTAAGAGGTAACAGTGTCTGTGAAC